GCAGGATTCAATTCCGCCATCCATTTCCTACGTCAACCGAAACCTGCTTTAAAGCAGGTAGCTGCTAAAACACAGGTTCTTTAAAGCAAAACCAGGTTTTACTGTTTGGGTGATTTACGTGGCTATGTTGTTGTCGTTTCTTGGGTGTTTTGGGGGCTCCAAGCGTTGAAAAGACTTAACGGGGATCGTTGCTGGGGGGATAATTCTAATTCAAAGATAGATTGAGAGGGCCCCTTGCAAGCACTGCTCTGATGCTCTTTTCGGCCCTGGTCACCGACTTCAAGATCCTGCCACTGCCGGCGCCTCAGCCAGCTGAAAGTCTGGCCACATCAATCTCAGAACGTGCGTTCTATAGCTTAAATTGCATGTGTATATAATATATATATATATACACACATGCAGTGTAAACGAAATGCAACATGTAAAGCAGTTAGCACATGATAGGTCCTCACATGCTTGTGTGCTATGCAATTGAAGAGGCCTCAGCTAGAGCTGTGTGCACGGCAAATTAAGAAACCACTTTCAATGAATTTCACATTGCTGGCTTGCAGAGCCCGTTCGAAGGTACGTTTTACGACCTGCTGGGGCCCAACTCTCCTACTAAGTCTACTCGGCCGTCCTATAAAATCTTCTTCTATCTGGCAATCCCACATCAATATATTTCGAGCCAGGCTGAAGCGCTTCGCGTCATCGTAAAGGATGTAGAACAAATGATGGAGTCGATGTAAGTTCGGCATGTACATGAAGAGTGCTCTGCCAGTGGCATGCGCTCCCTTGGCAAGGCCTTCATGAAGTTTCAGAAAATCGAAGCCGTGACCACTGATCTGCAAAGCACGGGCACTTGGAATCCACACATGCTCTTTGAAGCTCTTCGAAAAGAACTGGTAGATCTGCTTGGCTGCCATGAACGACCCATGTAGAAGAGAACCCTCATCAATAAATTGAGAACGGTCCTCACAAGCAAAAAGGAACCACCTTAAAATAGCAGTCGAAGTCGATCCCTTGTTCCAGCTTCCGCACGGATAGTCAGCCTTGCTCGGCCATCCCACCGTCAGACGGGTGAGTTTGCGAATATTCGGGTTGATCTTTCGGTCCTTGCAGAAGGCGAGGAAGTGAGCCGACATGGCATCGAATCGTCTCGGAATGCTCGTGCCGGGAAACGTATCAGCAAGCAATACCAAACATGATCCTAAAAACTGCTTGGCTGCACCTAAATGCCACGCGTGAAAGCAATCCTGTCCGAGGAAACTCGGGGAGTTGCTCCTGTCATGTGGAAGAGAAAGGAGTGCGGGGCATCCACGGAAAGGAGATATCTGATTCAGTGTTCTTCGCCAACCAGGCTCTGGTGCCGAGAAGTCCTCCCAAGCGATATCCCCGCGGTCCGCCAGACAAGCGTGGCAAATCCCCGTACCAGGTTTGCGGCTATTGCTTTGCTTGCTCACGTTCATGAAGCACCTTGTCAATGAGAACGCTTTCTGCAAAAAAGGCCAGTCGCCTTGGACGTTTAAAATAAGAAACCAATGTTTTTGGCCATACAATGAAGTGATTCCATTCTCGTAAAGCTCCAACAGGTCGTTTGTGAAGATCTTGAGATAGTCTTGGAACCAAGCTTCCCCATTGTCATGGTCGTAATATGGTTTTGTGAGCACACCCATCAGATAGCGGGTGGCCCATGTGTGTCCTGTGAAGTTGAGTTTCTGAAAGCTGTATGAATCATCAGGAGCAGCGGTATGGCAACCTCGTCCTAGGATCGAATGTGCCGACAAGACCATCACTGCAGACTTTTTGCGTGTGCGGCCCTCGTCGCCGTGCAAAAGGAATGCCGCCGTTCTCTGCAGGCAGAGTTCTTCCCGGGCTGCCCGGGCAAATATCGGATGCTGCGGGCAAACGCCCCGGTAGGCCTCCCAGAAAGCACCCCATTGAGCAAATGACCTGTCGTTATCTGGTGCATCCAGACCGGACAAGACATGCCACATGTTGTGGCTCATCATGAAGCAAAGCCAGGAACTGAGCAGCAAAACCGGAACTGTTGTTCCTTGCACGATGACTTCTTGCATCTTCACTGGTAAGCTAAGATGACACCGTCTCGACAAGCGATGCACATCTCGCTCACCGTTTCTCTCATCACATCTTGCAAGTCGGCCAATGCTGCTTGTAGCAGCTTGGGGTATCTCCTCGACCACGGCCTTTGCAGCCAGGATCGCCGTTTTGCAAGGGGCCTCGGCACCGAGAAGCATGAAACGATTTTCACAATGCGGCTGTTGCAGCCCTTTGCAAGCTAGCATGCTCACACTCACAACTCCGAAAGCGCGGTCTGTGCTGTCGATTGTTTTTTTGGAGTCAGCTTTGCCCAAAGGTCAGCTTGCATGCGTGTGCGTACATAACACACACAGAGCTCTCCTCACACTGGCATGAGAAAGCCCTCGCTGTACACGGTGTAACATCCATATGTGTGCAGTGCCGAATTAATTTTACGATCGACACACAGGCTTGTGCCTGAGGCTTCGGAAGACCACATAAGTCATGAATACTGCTGAGGCCGCGTGAGCCGTGCCGATGCCATCTCCTCCGGACAGAATGTTGCGACACCCAGGCAGACCTGGGATAAGCAGGCACACAAGTTTAATTGGCACATGTACATGCAACATGACATGCAATAATATATACGTGTATATATATATAGATATATTTACACACATACATATATCATATACATGTACATGCAGGTAAATGGGTCAAATGAAACAAGCAATATAACTTCAAGGTACCCAGCTAGGTCCAGGTAGAAAAGGATATATATATATATATATACATACATACATACATACATACATACATACATACATACATACATACAGACATATATGCATATATATGTACACAGAGAGATACAACAACACGTATAATAAAAGCGAGTTCTCTAATCTGAAATAGTCTGTTTCGTAGGCTCTCACAGCCCTGTTTTCTCAAATGGTTCACACTCACATATATAAGTCAAACCATGTTGCTTTGTGAGCATAAAGCTATATAATCTGTCGTACATCATGGCGAGCAGCATTGATATTTGTCGATCAGCGCAGCTTCCAACATTGAGGGGCCAGATTTCTCACGGCTCAAGTAGATGATGATCATCTCCTGCCACCGGTCCTTCTCGAATCGGTAACCGTAACCGGAATGATCCCAGCGTCTTGCAGCATCATGCGTGAAGCCAAACTTGAAAATCATAGGAGAAAACCTCGCCTGGAGCAGGAGCATGGTTTTGACGGCGTGGTTGAGGACACCGCCAGAGGTTTGAACTTTGGTTGGTAATCGCCAGGAAACATGACTATGACTGTCAATCCCACGAAGTACAGCAATTACCCCCGGCTCTTCGAGCACCTCCTCGGGTAGTCTTGCCTCATCCCAGCCAGCTCCACTGATCTTCTTCAGGGCCATGGTTTGTGTCGTAGCAATTCGGGCTGATATATATTGGTTCGTAAACTCATCATCAGGGACTTTTCGGGGCTCATCATATGTCGTACAAGGCTTCTTCCAAGGATATGGGCCGGCACGGTCCTTGGTTTCAGCGAACTATCGATTGGGTTCTTGGTTTCACTCTCGCACTCTCTCTCTCTCTCTCTCTCTCTCTCTCTCTCTTTACCTCCTCGCACATACAAACCTGGCGTCCTCAGCACTTGCACTTGTTCAGGGCTGGGTTGCTTTAATTTTTAATTGCAGACGGAAAACACTCCTGTGACACGTCAGTAAATCCCATAACTCTTCCTCTGGGTCTTCCACCATCAAGCACTAACAGAACTGCCGAGGCATGTTTTTCTGAGCCATGCTGGGACAGGCGAACAACGGGTGAAACTAATGCTGCATGCTGTTTATAAGTCATGATCGCACAAGTCAGCAGAAGTCTCTGCACTTGGCCAGGACCCCGACTCCATCTCCGATGCTCGCCATCCATTGGCGCAGAGCTGGTCCGGCACCTGGCTTGCCAAGCTAAGAAGTCCATAAAGATTCTGGGTGCAAGGAGTGCATGTCCATTCAGCTCAATAGAGGATTCGATCAAGCCCGAACTCAGCGCTTTTGTGTTTTCGGGCCGTTTGCGTGGCAGCACTGATTGAAAGCATCCCCACTTTGGCACGGCTGCTGTCCTAGTGATTTTCGAAAGACTTGGTTCACACAAGCAGGACTTTTTCTGGGGTGATGAGGACTTCTTCTGGGGTGACGAGGAATCTAGTGCACACATGACAAGTTGAGTACAAACTGGCTGTAAGCAGGAATGCTGCTTCTCCGATTGGATTGTTTGGGGTTTTAAGTAGCTTCCAGGGGTATTGGGCCCAAAAAACCCTACGACACAGATCATGTTTGAATGCATGCGAGGGAAAAGAGTCCTGCTTGTGGGGAAAAGCCACTTGCAGTATAGCTGCATGTGCGAGCTATACACATATCATCGATATCCCACCATGTGACTCATCGAAGTCCGTAGGCGATCGGCCGAAACCACACCCTACTTGGGAGCCCTTCTGCGTCGCTTGCTGTCAGGCCCGGATGCTTTTGCTTTTGGCTTCACACGAGCCTTGGCCTCGGCTTCGTCACCTGTGGGCTTTCCGGCCTTCTCGAGGTGCTTCTTCTGGCTCCTGCAGGAGTGTGATAATATATCGATCGGGGTTTAGGGTATGTATATATATATATATAAGTAAAGCCTTTGGGATATATATATATATATAAAGCCTATACACAATTGATGCTATATAGGTGATCGATGCATATACATATGATTGTTCTCAACTACTATATATATATATATAGAAAACACACAGATTGATAGATAAAAACAAATATGTAAGTACATAAGTATATATATATATAGATAGCTATATAGATAGATAGATAGATAGATAGATATAGATATAGATATAGATATAGATATAGATATAGATATAGATATAGATATAGATATAAATATAGATATAGATATAGATAT